TTACATGTGGAGAAAAGTCCTTGTGAAAGTTTGGACTGAAAACCCAAGACATGGACCTAAAATATTCCTCGGGGAATCTTAAAATAGGTATTTGAGAGTCAAATGATTTTCAATACCTTAATTTATCCTAATCCTGCCTATTGGAAGGACGCAGAGCCGCCTGCCAGCCTCCACTCCCACTCCCTCTTGTCTCCCTGCCTCTCGCTCTCTCTCTCTCTCCTCCTGCCTGTCCGCCTTTTAAAGACACGGAGAGTCATTCTCAGGCAGAACTCAGCTGAGGGGGCTTCACAACAGCTGACCGTGGCCCTTCGTTGTTATCCCTGGACGTTTTGGGTGGTTCAGTGCAGCCCCAGTTCTTGTCTTCGTAGTGCTAAAACCTCTGCTGTCAGCTGCCTCCTGTCCGGCCTCTGCCTGTAGGACTGGGCCCACGCTCTTCAGCCCGCTCCCACTGACCTCTCTAGACGCATCTTTGTTGTCACCCCATGCTCTGGCCCTCAAGAACATCTCCTGGTTCTATGAACAGGTTATAACTTCCCTAACTTATTGTCACAATAAGTGATACACGGCTCCTGCCCAGGGGCCTCCGCCTGCTCACTCTGTGGACTCCTGAGCATCCTTCTGAGCGCACACACTCCGGATGCTCCCTCTCTGCCCCTCGAGGGCATGGGTGCCTCTCACGCATGCCACTGATTCAGAAGCAAAACAAGAGTCAGTCGGGTGTAATTTATGTGACAAGGCTGTAGGATCCCTACTCAGCCTATCTCCTCCCTAAGGAAGATAACAAATTTGTATCAACTACTAAGACTGTCTCCACGAAAGTAAATTTAGAAAGATTGCGTACCTACTTATTTTCTACTGCATTTGGCTTTAGGAAAAAAAATAACTTTTTTCATTTAACAGAAATATAAATGGAAATGGGTTCTTTCTGGAAGGAACTGCATCTTTCATGGAAATGTCAGGAGAGAATGAATCTAAATTTATATTCAACGTTGGCAAGATGCAAAGATTTAACCTTTTTTCTCAATCAGATGTTGCTGATTTTATGGATTTCCAAAAATATATGGAAAAACAAAGGGAAAAACTAGAAGGCTGAAGAATGATAACTTCCCAAGTCATAGATAATCCCATAAAAGTCATTGGCATATAATTTCAAGTATTTTTTTTTCTTTGAAGAGAACCAGTTGTTGTCACTTATTCTCAATTAAGCTAGTCCCCTAGGTATAAAGAGTTTAATAACAGTTAATAATTCTGTTAAAATAATTCAGCCAAGTGCCTTTCATACCTTTTTTGACTGGAACCTATAGTAACACAGAGCTTTACATTGTGCCCAGCACACACATAAATATGTATATATGCATTTAAAAATAAATAACAGAAGCAAAAATTTCACAATATAATGCCTGCCCTTACTTATGTGTGAGGGCCTCTGATGTTTTCTCTTCTGTTTGGTATGCTGGTTGTGACCCATGTAATTGAATTCATGATCCCGCGATGGGCTGCAAGCTGCAGCTTAAAAACCACGTATCCCGATGAACCTGTTCACCAGGTAGGAAGCCCTCTTCTAGTTTCCCTGACGGAAGATCAGGAGACTCTGTACACATCCCATGATGCTCTGCTTCACCAGAGCTGCCAGTGGGGACCTCCCCCTGCAAACTGGAGACCACTTCCTAGTTAGAATCTGCTTTCCTGTCATCTGCAGTAATCGGCCCCAGTGCATTCTCCTCTCCTCTCTCCTCCCTTCCTCTCCCCTCTCCTCCCCTCCCCTCTTCCCTCCTCCCTTCTCCTCCTCTCTTGACTTTCTCTGTCCTCCCCTTCCCTCCCCTCTCCCTCTCTCCCTCCCTCTCTTCCTCCCTTCCCTCCTAGGGTCTTTGCTAAGCTCTTCTGTGTCTGAGACTGTGCTGTGTCCTACGTGTATAAAGACTGAGAACCAAGCCTTGTTCTCCAAGGAAGTTTCGCTCCAGTCAAGGTGTCCTCAGCTCAGAAATGGGGTTTCCTGTTGGACCTTATTTTGCTGGACAATACAGAGTAGGTCTCATTCCTTGTTCATATAACAGACTTTAGTATATGTAACTTCTGCTGCTCTTGGATTTATTTAATTAATTTTTCCCCACAACTAAACATCCCCGGCATCTACACATTTTTTTGATGGAAGAATAATTTATACGCAGTGAAATACACAAATTTTAAGGGACAGTTGGGTCAGTTTTGACAAATGCACACAATGTCTAACTTCCCTAGCAAGAGAAAAAAAATTCCTATTACCCCACAAAGTTCCCTCATGCTTCTTCCTAGTCAATATCTCCATCCACACTCCCCACTGGAAGCAACCATTGATCTGACTTGTATCATCGTAGAATAGTTTTATTTATAAGCTCATCTGTTTCCTATCTCCTGGGTCCACTACCCAACTCCTACCTCCCAGCCCCTTGGCTGGAAGACACCCTAATTTGTCAAAGTCCTTCTTAAAACTGGTTATTTGCAATGTGGTATTTTAATCCAGATATAGTTGAAATAATCAAGAAAATCAACAGTATGTTAAAATTTAAGGCAATTTCATATATAACTCTGTCGACTCATGGAATTTGAGGTCAACTAAAACCCCCAGGTGTAAAAAAATTGTTATAAAACCAACTATTGCTCTTTTTATATTTGTAATATTTTAATTTTAGGGCTAAACTCAGAATTTTACATTTAATTGTTGAAGTTAATCTTAGTTTTGCTCATTGTTTCAAAGTATTCTGTTAATTTTAAGTTTTGTGATTTAACACATTTTAAACTATTCCTTCTTGCTTTGCGTCATCCACCAGTTTGAAAATCCCATGGTTTATATCTTCATCAAAATCTTAATGGAAATTTAGAACAGGGTGTATCAAGAAAAGAGTCCTTGGGGACCGGCCCACTAGTGTAGCAGTTAAGCTCGTGGGCTCCACTTCCATGGCCTGGGGTTTGCTGGTTCGGATTCTGGGCGCAGACCTATGCACTGCTTGTCAAGCTATGCTGTGGCAGGCGTCCCACTTATAAAATAGAGGAAGATGGGCACAGATGTTAGCTCAGGGCCAATCTTCCTCAGCAAAAAGAGGATGATTTGTGGCAGCTGTTAGCTCATGATTAATCTTCCTCAAAAAAAAAAAAAAAGGAAAAAAGGAAAGAGTCCTAGGATACTGACCCAATTCTAGTATCCTACGGAGTCATGGGTTAACCTAACGTCGGGAGTGACTCGGCCTAACCATTTCACCATATGGCTTCTGCCTCTTCATCTTGTCCCCAACGGTATCAATTATGTGTCTTCAAAGCATATCCTGCTGTCTGGATTACGTCTTCTTTTCCATCTACCCTTCCATCCTAGGGGTCACATCCAGTCCCATGGCTTAAAATACATCAGTATGTTAATGTGCCCAAATTTATTCCTCCAGCTTGGTCCTCTCCCCTGAACTCAGAGTTCTTTATCTTCCTGCACACATGACATTCCATCTGGAAGTCTAACTCTCACCTCAAGCTAACACCTCCAAGAACAAAGAGTTTCCTTCTGCCCCCTCACCCTACACTTACTCTACGATTTCCTCCTTTGCAAATCATGTCTTTGTTCTTCCTGTTCCTCAGGTCTAAATCCTTGGAGTCTCCCTTGATGCCTTTCTCTCTCTCACTCCATTCACACAATCAAACAGCAAAAACTGTGAGCTCTTCCTCTGAAGACAGCCCATATTTGGCCACTTCTTAATGGCTCTGCCCCTGCGGCTCCGGGTCCGGCCAGCATCCTCTCTTCTACAGATGGTCACCATAACCCCTATTTGGCCTTCCTGGTTTCCACTTCTGCTTCCTGCAGTCTCTTGTCCATGCAGCAGGAAGGAAGGTCCTTTTCAAACTGATCTCACATAGGTCACCTTCTGCTCAAGATCCACAGCGGCTTCTGCATCTCAGACTAGAATCCAGTCTGCGCTGAAGCCTCTGGGGCCGCCTTACCTTTTACCCTCCTCTGACTGCTCCTGCTTTCCATCTCTCTGCCTCTGCTCCAGCCTCCCAGCTCAGGGCTCGTCATGTCCATCCTCCTGTGGTACCTCCTCCTCATCCCCTGCCCCCCCCCCCCCCCCCCCAATATCTGCACTGCTCACTCCCTCGCTTCCTGCGGTCCTGCTCAAACGCTCAGTGCACTTCATCGGATCAGCCTCTCATGGCTGGTACCACCCTCATCCTCTTTAATCCATCTGATTTTGTTGGTAGCCTTATCTCCTGTGTTATATGTTTATTTTTCACTCCTCTCTTTTGGAATTTAAGCTCCAGTTATGCAAGTGTTTGTTTTCAACTCTTGTATTCCCAGTGGCTAAAACAGTCTCTGGAACATAAGTAAGAGCTTAATAAATATCTGTTGCATGAATGAATTAAATACATGAATCAGTGAATGCCACACACAGGATTAAATGTTAGGTGAGAAAAACATATACACATAGTAGGATGCATTAAGAAGAGGATAGGAAAATGAAAAACATTCAAAAAGTTAAAAATTTGTTTTTTTATGCTTTTTCTTTTTTCCTAAGAAAAGCCTCTAAATTTGAATTTTGCCATCTAAAAAGTTTCAATCCAAAGCAGTTGTAATAGCAGACATGATTTGGCCTGACTCTGATTGCTGGGCCATCCCAGAGCTAAGCTGGGGCCTGATTTGCCAGGCGTTGCCGAGGCACACCCACAGACGGGAAGCGACGTGCACAGCAGCAGAGACACAGAGCTGGAGAGTTTAGTTATAGTGAAATTAATGCAAAAAGAGCCTAAGACTCTTCTTCTTTGATGCCGATTAGCAGAGGGAGGCCCCTAAAAAATGTCACCTGCTCAAGAGAGACCCAGAGTTTATTTGACTGTATTCCACATAAATTCTCCAGATTATTTCAATTTTGTTAAAACATAAGGCCAAAAAAAAAAAAAAAATCATAAATGCTGTACACAGCAAGAGCTCAGATTTTACAGAGAAACTGCTGTGGCACCTTTCCGTTAACTGTAGAAGCACTTGCCTTGAACAGGTCGACTCTGCTGATGATGCTGAAATTCATGTCGGAGGCGAGGGCTAGCTGCATGGTCGTTGGCAGGGTCTCAAGCAGGTCGGACTCATCTTCATGAGGATAAACACGTCAACCCACAGAGCAGAACAGTTAGTGAAAAAAATCACCGAGGTATGAGAAAAATTTAAAAAATAAGGGAAACAGAACACCAAGTTTTTATAGATAAACGGCTGCCTCAAATTCTATATTTTCATTACTTCTATTGGACGTATACCCCAATCACAAAAGGGCTATTACTCTCCTGAGAGAAAAGAGGTATTTTAACTATTGATAGCATGGCAGTTCTGAATAGTTCCAGAACATTGTGTTTGCTGAAACCTTCGATATCAAGTTTGGTGATCATGAGACACAGGCTAGCGAGCAAACTGAGACGGGAAAGGCTCTAGTCCTGTCTTTCCATTCTGCAGATTGCAGCCCTAGCATCCTGGGGACCGCGAAAACAACAATGATGAGTACCATGTGGCCTTTGAAAGCTAACAGAACTGTCGTAACCCTTATCTTACTTGACCCTCGAGACAACCCTAAGGATAAGTCTTCTCATTCTTGCTTTGCAGAAAGAAGAAAACAAAAGGAGATCTGAAGCTCAGAGAGGTTGTAAGTGGCTTGCTCAAATGTGCATGATGGTAGGTGGCTCAGCTGGGCATGAGATCTAAAGCAGAAATGTGCTAAGTGAGTGAATTCAAATCACTGTTATTTACTTGCTTATTAACTCAATGAAGAATGAGACTACATTAAATATTTTTCTACGTGTGAATTAAATGATGGGCCTTCAGACTCATAAAATGTCCCACAAACACCCATTCTTGGTGTCTAGGATGCTACGAGTTTCTGAGAGTTGACTATTTTTGATGTTTGCTTATATCCATTTAGAAAAGAAAAGAATTGCTATTTTATATCCTTAATTGGATTCCAATATTGATTCTAAATATGAAAATCCTTTCTGTGAAAACACAGCTCCTTGTTTCCGAGGGCTGTTTGTCTCCGGCTCCCTCCTAAACCGAGGAGCAGGAGCAGCGTCTACAGGCAGCGGGGGAAGGAGCCCCCTCTGTTTCTTCTGCCCTCTTCCTCCCCAGTTGACACGCCCTCAGGAATAGCTGTGGATGCGCAAGAGGGAAGCACGTAGTGGTTTTGGTCACTCGGATTTAGGAAGCGGTTTTAAACATGCAGCTGGGGTCTCTTAGGAGCGACAGGCGGGTGAACCAAAGGTCCGACTGTCAAGAACCAGCGGTTCCTTCTGCTCTAAAGAACCCCTGTGATTTGAGAATCACACTGTACCTCTGGAGGCAAGAGCTTTTTTGGCTTCTCAGTGGCACTAATTTTCCTATTTTTGTATGGCAAGGAACAAACTAAATATTGAATCTGATTATCATCAACTGGCACATTTCTTTAACTTTTGTTGTTAGTGCCGTCCAGTCCATTCCGCCTCCTCGTGACCCCGTGGACAGCAGAGCTGAACCCTGCCTGACTTTTCGTGCCATTTTTTCCTTTCCGGGCTGTGTCAGACCATGCTCTGCTGCCGTTCACAGGGTTTTCGTGGCCAATCGTTTTCAGAAGTGGGTGGCCAGGTCCTTCTTCCTTGTCTGTCTGAGTCTGGAAGCTCTGCTGAAACTTAACTGGTATTTGAAATCCTGGTGGCATAGCTTTCAGCATCATAGCAACAGGCAGCCACCACAGTGTGACAGCCGACAGACAAGTGGGTGGCTCCCTGATTGGGAAACGAACCGGGGCCGTGCCAGTGTGAGCGTCCAATCTTAGCCACTAGACCACTGGGGCTGGCTATCTTTAACTTACTTTATATCATTTAATAAAAACGCTTTCTAACTCCAGTATGACAGTACTAATTGTAGACACCGCGAATTATAAGGAGTCTCTTGGAAGAGACTGTGCGCCCTGAGGTGCGTTGGAAGTGGCCAGAAAGATTGCTGCTGTTTCTGAGGACCATGGCCTGGGTGAGAGGCTGGTATCACAGGGAGGACAAGCATTTGGAGAACAGATGCCCGTCGGAGTTCCATTTAGGCCATTTGCTGCATCCGTGTCCTCGTCCAAATTTTACAGTTAGTAGTTCCATTTCATTGTCTCCTAAAAGGGATTGACAACATCTAATTATCCCATTTTTTTTGGGGGGGGGGTGGCGGGTGGTGAGGATTACATGTGGGAAAGTACATAAAACCTAGAATCTGGTAGGCATTGAATAAAATTGAGACTTTGCTCTTCCAGGATTTGCAAGACCAGTAAGTTATGACTGGATATTTAAGATATTTAAGTCAGTAATTCGCCAAGCTTACCGAGCATTCTTTGAGAGTCCCATGTGTATTCATACCAAGTCCGCACCCGATTCTGCACACTCCTGGGGATGGAGTAAGTGTTCATGTAGGCGATGGTCTCATCCATGCAGGCCCGGAAGTTGTTCTGGTTAGCTGTCGCTGCCCCGATCACATCTCGCATCTACAACCACAAATACGGTCACTCCACATCCAGCGGAGGAATTGGAAGAGTTACTAAGAGTCCAGCTGAGTCAAATGTTCTCACGTAACACATTCCAGTCTAACGCACTAACTAGATTTTTAACACAGTGATATGGGGTCCTCATTTCAACCACTTACGTAAAATATTGGGCAAGTCATATCCTCTTTCTGGCCCCATAAGCACAACAGTAAAACCTGTCTTACCTGCCACATGAAGCTTTTGTGAGGATTCAGTCACATAATGCATGTGACTGCACACAACCTTCTCTGCAAACTTGTCTATTGCTGCAAAGATGTAGTTGATGTTTTAAAAATTATACAGCTTGTGCTTATACGAGGAGCGTGCAAAGAAAAGCGAGCAATTACCTGGCAGGGTGGCTAGTCCATTTTGGTGAGTCTTGCTTTGCAAGCATCCTTCATAGATTATCCAGCGTGGCTGGCTATATAGACTCAATTCGTCATGAAATTGCAACCTCTGTGCTTCCCTTTGTGTTGTTTAGACAGATAGAATCAAATCTCGTCGTGCTTCAGGCATAGTATTCAGCAGAAGCTGAAATGCGCTGAAATTACTGATGCCTCATCCACTACTGTGACAATACTTAAGGAACTGTCAGCTTTTAGTTCTTGGATGTTTATAACTCAGCCATAAAAACTCACTCTAGGTTAAAAGCTGATCTTTAAGGTCTCAGCACAAAAAAGATCTATAGCTCGACTCTTCCTCTCACATGGAGGGAAGCAAGTGGTTGTAAATTTGCTTTGACGGTGGGTACATAACAGGGAGGAAAACGAGGGCCTCACTTCCACACTCTTAAGACTTCACTCAATCCTTCTAGTAGCTGAGCCTTTTATGCTTATGGGAAAGCAACTTATTCTTTGAGGTGTAGCTCAAATGGCTCTTTTATTGTGATGCCTTCCTGTCACTAGGTTCTCCTACTTATCGAAAGCATCTGCTGGGGAGCTATGCAGACAGTCAAGCTGGGCACATCGTTTTCAGTCTCTAACTCACTCCTTGGTGGCCAGTCCAAGTATTCTGTGACAACCTCAATTCCTAGAACTCCCTTCTGCAAGCTGTTCTTGGCAGATGATGGACAGTACGGAGTCGCCTGAGGCCGTGAGAATTAGGATATTAGGGGTCGGGTTAGGAGATTTAGTAGAGTTTTAAATTGGGAACCAGAGACAATTAAAAGCATTATTGATCTGTGTTGAGGGCCCAGAATTTGCGGTGACAGGGATCTGAATGGTTTATGTGCTCTCCTTCGACAGGGCTGGGTTGTGGCCGTGCAGGAGTTGGAGACCGTGCGTGTCCCATGACATGTCCCAGGTGAGGGAAGTACGCCAGGACGTGAGAGGAGGAAGACGTCTGTCTCTGTGAGTTGTATCAGAGAGTAGAATGCAGCAGTTAAAATGTGATGACCGGGTCCAGGGCGCTGTTCTTGCTGCGTTCACACGTGGGAATTCAGAATCAGTGGAGATTCTGTCCGAGTTCCCCTCGTTCTCTGCCTCTTTTCTTCAACGTGAGAGTTTAAGGCACAGTCTTTTTCTCCCGCCTCAGTCCCTCTTTTGGGGTCTAGGGTCACATTTTCAGTGGCTTGATATTTTTCCTGTTCCTGTTGGAACGTCAAATTCAATGCAAAGGCAGGTGTGGTGTGGTGTACACAGAAGCATTTCTCAAACTTTCCTGTGCATGTGAGTCACCGGAAGATCTGGTTAAAATGCAGATTCTGACTCAGCAGGTCTGGGGTAAGGCCTGAGTTCTGAATTTCCCAAGGGGTATTTCCGCCACTGCTCCAAAGATGACACTTGGAGTGGCAAGAGAATTGGACTGGAGCTAGACATAGTTTTTTAGTCTTGTGAGAATTGCCTTGGACCCAGTAAGGCTAAACACATCTTAGATTTTCCTATTATTATCAATATTGTATTATATGGCTCTATCATAGGACTGTATGGATTACACGCATGAATTAAGGATGCCTCAATCTCTTTAAACTGGAGGTTCCTCATCTGCAGAACTGAGAGAACATTGAACGTGATGTGGCTGCCTCACACAAACTATATGAGAAATTATGAAATAATGGGATTTTTGCTGTTTATATTCAAATTAATTTGAATTGCATTTCTCTCTGAACCAGCTTCCTACTTTCAGCCATTGTTCATGGGATCTCCCCAGCCATTAAGATTATGATCTTTACGCTTTCAGTTTCTAACTGCTTTGCATTCATCTTCCCAGACTTAAATATTTTCTAAATAACGTTTCTTTTACAGCACCTCTCTCCGCTCCATTACCGTGCTCAGGCTGGAGTTGCCATACCCCTGGGTATCTGTATTAACCATTGTTTTTATTTTCTGTGTGTTGATGATTTGATACCTGGAACCGTCCCTCCCAGAGTTAGCTGATTCCTGGAGGTGGCAAACAACCATATGGGGAGCGCACCTTTCATATGCAAACCCACCAATCCAGAACCTTCTTTATTGGGCCCCACATTCCTGGACACTGTCCACCTGCCCCAGTCACCCCAGGGTACCAGACGACTAGAGAAAGCTGGTAGAGCCTGCTGAAATTATCCAAACAAACCAGTCCTAAGCCCGAGTACCCTGCTTCACCCGTTCCCTCCCTGGCGCTTCCTCACGTGTCCCCCTCGGCATGGCGTGACCCCTCCTCTTAGATCTGTTTGTATAACAAACCATCTTTTCAATGCCAATCGTATCCTAATCTGTTGGCCTCAACATACCTAAATAATAATAAAAGCTATATTTTAAAACAGTATTACTCCCTCCCATTCATAGTATATTTTCATTACTCTTCCTTGAATCTCTTCTTTATTCAAAATGCTCCCCTGGCCCACTTCCCATTGCCGTTAGGATGAAGTCAACATCTTTCCTTTAACATCCAGATCCCTTAAAATATCTTGTCCCTACATACATCTCTAACCTTATTTAAAGCACCCTTCACTCCAGTCCTTCTGGTAATCTTTCTATTTCCTCAAACATGTCTTGTGCTTTGTCATTGCTATCTGTCACACACTGTTTCTGATTGATTGAACTACCTATCTAACTGCTGAATCCTATCTGGTTTTTAAAGATGGTTCAAATGCCTTCTCCTCCAGGAAACCTCCTGGGAAGCTTCCCTCTTCTGAACTAACACAGAGCTTTCAAACTCTCCTCTGATACTCACCCTGAACAGCAGACCCATGACATTCATGGATGTAGGATTTGAGTTTTGACTATTTGTGATCAGCTTCAAGTGTTATAAAGAATAGTTTTTCTTGATAAATTTTGTTAAAGCATGGGTTTTATTCATACAATTGTGAATGCAGTGAGTAGGAACCAACCATTATAGTGGGAATAATCATTTTGTGATTTTGTATAACTCTTTACCCAGTACACAAATCTCAATACGGTTGTTCTGTTCTCAAACAGGTAGTATATAAAGTACCTTCAATGGAAGTATAACTTCTGAAGATGCTGTGCTGTCGAGCTTTTTATTTCTTGTGAATCTGGGAATTCACAAAGATATTGGGCTCTATCCTTTGCAAATGCCAAGTACCCTGGAATAGAGTCATTTGTGTATTTGTTTTTCTTTGTTACTAGACTGTGATTCCTTGAGAATAAGAACAAGGAGAGGCCATAATAAACACTCATGAGCTAGAGATTTATTAATTAAATGAATTTAGAGGGCGTTTGGTGGCCTCTAGTGTAAACGACCTCTGAAGTTGATTTCAACTCGGGGATTTTATGACAAGAGTTAAAGTTCAGGTAAAGAAGAGAGCTTTTAAAGGTTTTCAGGAAACTCCAAGTAAGAAGTTAACTGAGTAACTTGGCTTTTGGGAGTCTAACCTGATGCCCGTTGAGGACGGGTTTTCTGGTAGATTTAATGGCCTAAAAATTGAAAGGTGATGTTGACCCATTCACATCCTCCTCAAATCCATCAAAATAGATGAAAGTTAGTAAAAAAAAAAAGCACCAGATGGATTTTGATTTTCCCTCTGTAGAGTTTATCAAGACTTATCAGCCTCTCAAAAGTGACAGCATTCTATCTCGGGATTCACATCTCAATTTACCTGACCAATTAAGCTGGAGAAGACAAACACTCCCGAAAAAAAGTTCAACAGTTGAAAAACAATTTCAAATGTAGTTTGTGGTTCTGGAAGGCCCCCAATGGTAATCAAAGTTCGAACTGCCCAATAATAACATCTCAGATACCTGTGAAAAGAGAAGATATATATTTTGCTTTTTACCATAATATTAAAATACCACCATGTTTGAGAGTATAGATTACTACCAAATTATAACACACTTGCTCATCATCAAGGTTTTCTTTTCATAAGCAGCATTGGCAGGTACTATGCAAACTAATGTAAACTTTTTGATAAACATTGTGTAAAATGACTAAACAAACCCAAGGAAGGGTGTTTACTAGCTAGTCCACTTATCTCTTACTGTAAAACAAATCACTCCAAAATTTAGTGGTATAAAACAACAACTATTTTATTAGGCTCTTAATTTTGTGGCTCAGGAATTTGTGCAAAGCCCAGCAGAGATGGCTCATCCATGCTCCATGCTGAGTTGGCCCTGGGATGACTTGAACGGCTGGAGATAGCTGGGAAGAGTTGATTGAGGCCAAATGTCTGGGGCTTTGATTCTAACTGTGGACTGGGTTCCTCTGTTCTCCGCATTATGTCTGCTCAGAATGCCCAAAGTGTCTTCTTCTCTCACGTGTCTGAGCCTGGGCTGGAATGGCTGGAACAGCGGAGGCTGGTTGGGTCTGTCTCTCTTCTCATTCAGCCTTTCGATATGACCAGTTTGGCTTCCTCACAGCATGGCAGCCCTGGGTGGATGGACCTCTTACGTGGTGGCTGGTTTCCCCCAGAGCAGTAGCAGCCCTGGTAGTAGCTGTAAGGCTTCTTATAACTCAGAAGTCTTAATCTCCTGACACATTGTATTTGTCAAGCAAGTCACTAGATCCAGCCCAGATTCAAGGGAAGGCATGTTTGAATCCACCGCTCAGTGAGAAGAGGAGAAAAGAATTTGAGGCCATCTTTAAATTACCACACTGGTGATTTATGAGCAATATTATAGCCATCAAGGCTATTTATGCAGAAAGCCTTTGATAGTTTAGATGCAGTTGCTTTTACTGATGGAAACTAGAACAGGCATGTATCCTCTTTCTCTTTTCTACCCATGTCTTGTTACATTATTGAATTTGTAAACCACGGGAGAGGTGGAGGAGAAGTGAACTCCATCTGCAAAGGGAAGCTGCTTGGAGCTGGCCCCATGGCCTAGTGGTTAAGTTCAGTGTGCTGTGCTTCAGCCGCCCAGATTCAGTTCCTGGGTGCAGACCTATACCAGTCATCAGTGGTCATGCTGTGGCTGTGGCCCACATACAAAGTAGAGGAAGATTGGCAACAGATGTTAACTCAGGGCAAAACTTCCTCAGTAAAAAAAAAAAAAAAGGGAAACTACTCTCAGGTGTAATAGGTAATTTATCTAGAAATTTAGTATTGTAGAAAACAAGGTATGCTCAGAAATATACTTGATAATGATTCTGTGCTTTACTTTGAGCAATTGCAAATGAAGAAACTGAGATCATTGTAGTCAGATATGAGGAGAATCAGGAACCAGGGCAACAGAAGAATATGATAAAGATTAGGAGAGAACACACAAAATTCACTTGGTGACATTTGGCTACAGGTTTCATGGAGTCCATAGTAGGTGGGAGTGGAAGTGGGTATTACAACCCCGCTATGTGTATATATATTTGTGCATGATTAGATATACTATTTGGCATATTCCATAGAGCTCTGATAACATGGTCTGGATCAGGCATTCCCACCGAGTCCTTAAAGAAAAATGCCCTGTATACAGAGAACACCTCCAGATATTGTCCAAGAGAGGTATTTGGATTTAGTGGGTCCCAACTAGCTATTCTATACACAGTGTAGATGCAGAAAAGCAGCACTTTTTACAGAATCCTGATGTAGTCAGGCTTTTATTTCTTGGCTGGATGTGCCACATAAGCATTAGGACTTTAAGTAATTGTGTACTAATCTTTGAAGAAGAGCGTTTTTTTCTTGTGAAAATACTGTGCAATTTTCAGATCTTCAACTAGTAGGAAGCTGAGGTGTACAAAGAGAGAAACTAACCGCAGCTGAAGTCAGTATTCATATAAAAACAGATCTGGAGAGAAATCACTCATTTTGAAATTCAATATCTTTTGAATGACGTGAGTTTTTTTTTTTTAACCTGGTGGATATAGGAACAGAAAAATAATTAACACTTTTGTGGGGTTGGAAACCACTGTGCCAAGAGAATAAAAATATTCCCATTCCAGCAGGCTTCCTTGGAGTTACGGATATGATAGTGAACTTGATGTCCAGGAGGACCACCTTGAAGAAGTGTGGAATTAATTTTTTGAATTGCATTTTAACTTTTCAAATTCCAATTTATAACTTCCTATTACCCGATTTATTTTGGACACAGGTCCTGGACCTGTGGGTCCCTTTAAATTAAGGAAATGTGCTGAACCCCATACTGCCCAGGAGTAGGACAGGGACTGGATTCTCTCCCCACTGGCCAACTCCATTACAAGAGCTGGGATGCCTTTTCCCTCCAAAGTCACTGTCATGGTAACGGGGGCAAACGTAGGAATGACTGTCTTTCATCTTCTCATTATGGATGCTAAAAAACAACAATCAAATGTGAAACTTTGGCGTTGATTTTCCAAATCTGAAGGGTTGGCCTTGAGCTACTTTTCTGTGTAGGAAATCGTCTGCTGCGTTAATTGGAAGTTTTCTGCCCTGATGCTTTGAGGTTTATTTTGGGATTCTTTCTCAGCCATGTCTTACACCCAGACATGCACAACCAAAAGTAAGATTTGTAATTTAATTAGATGGCAGCTTATTGATTCTCTAGGATTAGCTTAATTAGTGAAGTGTGTCCACCTCTAATATTTACACCCCAGGCAGATATTTTCAAGGAGATTCTATCTGCCTGATTTAATACATGAACTATCTAACAGGCTGTATATATGCAGCTCTGAGTTAAAGCAATCAGGCAGAATCTGACATAAAACCATAAAAAATATCTAGCATGGAAATAGAAATTCTTCCTCTGTGAAACAAACATGACATGAAATTTTCCCCTAACATTTTGTTATGAAAAATTTCAAACAAGCAGGAAAATCGAAAGACTTCTACAGTGAACACCCATTTATCTGCCACCTAGATTCTGCCATGAACATTTTACTCTATCTCCTCCATTTTTCCATCCATCAATCCATCTTAGTTTTTGGATGCATTTCAAAGTAATTTCCAGACAGTAAGACAATTCCTCCTAAACACAGTGCTTCAGAATGTATATATACTAACTAAACTTCAATATTTCTATTTTAAAATTTGAACATACAATAAAAGCACAAATCTTAAGTATACTATTTGATGAATTTTGATAAATGCCTACACCTGCATAACCCAAACACCTATCAAGACAGAACATTTCCATCACTTGTCACTCTGGAAAGTTGTCTCATGCCCTTTCCCAGTCAATTCCTGACCCCAGATAGGTACACTTTATTTTATTTTATTTTTTTTGCTGCAGAAGATTCACTCTGAGCTAACATCTGTGCCAATCTTCCTCTATTTTGTATATGGGACGCCACCACAGCATGGCTTGATGAGCGGTGTAGGTCCATTCCTGGGATCTGAACCCAGGCTGCCAAAGCGGAGCATGGCAAACTTAACCACTAGGCCACTGGGCTAGCCCCCACATAAATACGCTTTTGTGTAAGATGGCTTTCACCCAGAATAATGTTTTTGAGATTTATCCGTGTTGCTGTGTGTATCAGTGGTTTATTCCATTTTATTGCTGAGTAGTATCCAATGTATGAACCTGGTACAGTTTACCTGTTTTCCTATGGGTGAACACATAAGCTGTCTCAAGTTTTCGGTTATTATGAAAAGATATTCTATGGAAATACTTATATTAGTTTTTTAATAGACATATATTTCTGTTTCTCTTGGTTAAATATTTAGGCTTGGAATTTTTGTTTGTAAGGTAGGTGTATATTTAGTTGTAAAAGAAACTGTCAGATCTTTTCCCAAAGCAGTTGTACCATTTATCACTCCCCCAACAATGTATGAGAGTTGCTCTGTATTCTTACCCCAACACTTGGTATTGTCAGTCTTGTTTTTTGAGGAAGATTAGCCCTGAGCTAACATCTGCCACCAATCCTCCTCTTTTTGCTGAGGAAGACTGGCCCTGAGCTAACATCTGTGCCCATCTTCCTCTACTATATATGTGGGATGCCTGCCACAGCATGGCCTGCCAAGCAGTGCGTAGGTCTGCACCCAGGATCCAGACCGGCGAACCTCAGGCTGCTGAAGTGGAACATGCAAACTTAACCGCTGTGCCACTGGGCCGGCCCTGTCAGTCTGTTTAATTTTAGCCATTGTGGTGGATGTGTAGTGGGACACACAACTTTTAAAAATACCCCATTCAATATTTTATGTGTGGACCTTCTTAACTATCCCAATCCATCTTAGTTCCGGGGTTCTGCAAATTTATCACTGTAAGCACTGAGTATGGGGGAGAACAGTCTCATTGGAAGACAAGCTCCGCAAGCACACGTGTTTACGGAGCTGGCACAACAGGAGCGTAATAATATGTGTTGAATGACGTGACCCTGAGTAAATACTTTCATCTCCCCAGGTCTCACCATCTTCTTGTGTAAAAGGAAAGGGTGAGTTATTCTGAGTCTCCCTAGCACTGAGGTATGGTAATTCGGATTTCTTCCTCACCCCGTCTAGTCATGAGTCCCGCGACAGCCTCGCTTGCTTTCTGACTCTTTCCTTTGACGATCTATGGGGTAGGAACTGGGGCTAGGGATTTGCTAAGAGGTCTGTGCACAGTGGGAAATTTATGTCAGAAAATAAATAAATTGGGATATACATGGACAAAAGTACACTGGGAACTTTTCTGGGTGCCAAATAACCTTAACTACTTATGTTTTCTTTCAAGCTAAGCCCTTTTCTTTGTTAAATTTCACAGTTGAGTGAAGGATGCCATCTACTCCATATAAGTGAAAACGACTTGTTTTCTATTGAAATGAATAGACACTGTTATTCTGGTGAGGATTAATGGAAAAGTAATAAACTTGATGCTTATTTTAAATGTTCACAGTGCTCCACTTGTGCCCTACACTTTGCTGCCTAATTCTAACTAGGGCAAAGTTTACAAATCCAATGGCCTCATAAGGATCCTTCAATTTATAGGTCGTCAGAAACCATCACAAGTGTTGAGTAAAAATGCTTTCGACTTATAAGTTCAAGGGTAACAGGAGGCAATGAAAGGGCAGGTGATGTTCAAAAACTGTGAGGAAAATGTAAGTTTACTAATGACTACCACATGCAAATTATTTGAAAAATACGTAAAAATGCTGCTTTTAAAGGCATTTTCTTTGTAAGGATGACAACCTTTGTCCCTGACAGCTGGTAACAGGATTATTGGAGCTTGGGTTTTTAGTGGGAACTCCTCTGTCTAAATGCGCAGGAGAGAGCCGATGAGGTGATGCTCGTCTCTACAGTCAGAGCACGCGAACTGTTTGATACCAATGCTGTGAAATGTACTGCAACTTGCTTTTGATCACTTTTTGCAGGTTTTCCGTGAGTGAGTAAGAAGAAGGGGTGATTTCTAATTCTTGGGTGCAAGGTTCTCTTTCTATCCATTAAATCAAGCTCGTTAATTGGGTTCTCCAACCTTTCGTATCTTTACTAACTGTTTTTGGTTGCTCCATCAATCAGGAGGTGTGTGTTGACATCTCACACAATGATGATGTGTTTGCCAATTTCTCTTCCTTCTATTAATTTTTGCTTTATGAATTTCTTTGATTTATTATAAGTATTTTATTGGGTGCATAGACATTTAGAATTGGGATGCTATATTGATGGTGAATTGAAACTTTCATCATTATGCGGTGACCTTCTTTTTCCCTAAAATGATTTTTGTTTTAAAGCCTACTTTGAGCAATATTAATTGATAATCTCTCTTAGTTGGGGAATTTACTCCGTATTAATTTTTATTGTGCTTATTGATATATTTTAAGTTGTTTCTATCATCTTACTTTGTGCTTTCTGTTTGTCTTGCCGTTCTGCCTTTCTGTATTTCTCCCCACAGTTTTCTTTATTTTTGCCTTTTTTCTTGACTGATTGAGTTTCTTTTTTAGTTCTCTTATTCCATTTTTTTTTCTTCTACCGATAAAAAAGCTATCCTCTCTATTTCTCCTCCTTGATGGCTATCTCACGACTCGATTCCGCTCCAGCTTCAGGACGCACTTTTGTTTTCTAGACTTTGGAGTTTCTTCTTACTTTCTAGAGAATTCTGCAATCAAAACTGTGGTAGCTGTAATTTATCTAAGAAATGCATCTTATTTACATTACATAAGTAACTACAACAAAAATTACAAGTAATTGATCTTATTGAGGGGCCACTTGGGATCTCCAGTCTGCACTATAGCCGGAATTAGAATCCTGAAATATGAGTGCGCTTTAGCTTAAGTTTCTTATGGGTTGCACCTGAGATTTCTGTCTTTCTTGTTATAATACAGATTTGGTCATTTCGTCTTTTTTTTCTCACTCCCTCTCTCTCTTCCTTCCTGCCTTCTTTAAATACTGGTCATGTGTTGAGTCCTTGTTATACACTTCACAATATTCCAGGCACTGGGTACAAGATGTATGCTCTAGAAATGCCGCACACAGGCATCCAGGTGTGAGAAGAGAAATAGCGCCACTGGAGGCATTCTGATGCAACTCTATATTATTTTGCTAATTTGATAAAAACAGTTATCAGCCTCAGGCATCTAATGATGTTGGATCACATACTCACTTTCAGGCAATGTTTAATATAGTTGGTACCTCATGCAGTTTTCTGTATAAATTAGTTATTTATATTAAACTAAATACATACTTAAGTTAATCCACATTCTAAAGGGAATTGCTTATGGGTTTGGTTATAAATAGATATTCTCTGTTTGTGTATGTAGGTGTGTTTTCCCAATCAGTGGGCCTTCTGACTTTAAATTTTTAAAATCAGTTCTGGTTAAAAGTTCCAAAAATGCTGTTCTGATTCCTCACACACCTCCTGCTCACTCTAGGTGGTGTGTAATTTTGTGAGGTGTCTTTGCTCTATCCTGTAATTGCTTTCCTTCCCAGGGCTGCTGGGGGCTGCCTTCAAAGTCGTGCTGGGACCTGCTCTCTGCCAGTAAGGACACCGCCGCATAAGATGCTCAATGTCATTTCGATCGAGCAGAAAGTCTGTGCAGTTTACTTTACGCCAGGCTCTGGTATCCCACCCAAACGAAAGCTCTCTATTAAATAGCCCAGTTGCCATTACTGAGTCCTGATTCTGCTGCACTAAATTTTTCAAACGATCTCTTTATTCCTGGGACACGTGCATGTCTAATTGTCAGGTTTAATTTATGGTCCTTGTTACTCTCTAAGTGTTTAATTGAGTTAGTGGTTATAGCTGACTCATAAAACTGTAAAATCCTTCAGTGGTAAACTAATTAACTACTGCACCTGCCCTCCAAATAATTAACATTGTTCATTGCTAACAATCAGCATTGGAGTTATTAAAAGTTACCTTACCACTCAGTTGTCTAAAGCAGAGGCTTCTGAACGTATTTGATCATTACCCAGATTAGAAATGCGTTTCCCACATCAACCGAGGACACAGACACACACACACTCTCTCTCTCTCTCTCTCTCTCTACTACTGGGCACAGCAGAGTCTGGTATTTTCTATTCTGCTCTCCTCTACTTTAATCTCTTTCACTTAAAAACATACCCGCCTACCAAAGAGTTTTTACAGCCTGTTTGTGGGTTATGACTTCCAAAACACCGGTTTAAGAAAACTCATACATTGAAACGGAAAGTTAAGAAGAATCAATAAAAGCTTTCTTCAAAATTAAAGCTTACTTGTTTCCTTCACCATCGTACACCCATCTAGTCGTTCCAATTCCTTCATAGTTTGAAGCCCAGTAATAAATACAGGCATTAATGTGCAGAGTAAACAGCAAGTACCCAGTTGTTCGAATGACTCTGGCAAGGAGAATAAACACAAAGTAAGTACTCATGTTGTTTCTGAAATACGGCCTATCTTACGTTTTCTTTTCCTTAAAGTCTCCGCTGAATCTCTTTGCTTTACATTTGTGAACCGTTAACTCTCATTACTATAGTATAAGATGATGGTGCCATCACATGTTTCCCGACTGCGGTGTCTCCACTGGGACTGACGGAGTGTAGGAAAAAACCTTCCTCTCTCTTCACAGATGGTGTGAGTCAACTCTGAAAGACATGCCTTGAGGAGCACCCCTCCACTTTGAGCCCCATAGCAGACGCCACACTGAGTTCACTGGATCACCCTGAGAAGCTCGTGGGACTTACGCTGTGACTGAGTGTGACCATGTATCTCTGTGCCAGTGATGTTCAGAGCAGCTAGGAAGGAAATTCAGACTAGAACGAACTGTCATGAGAGAGATATAAAGTCGATGTGTGAAAGAACATGTTTATCAGTACTTGCTCTAATTGAAGCAGGTATTATTTCCTATTTTTTTAGTCCTATATTCTTCTAAAATATAACGTGATTTTCACACTTTTATCTCACTTCAAATTATTCAGATCTGTTTTAGAACATAGCCCTATATTTTATATAGGCAAAAATCTGAAATTATCCCCTTTTCTTGATCAGGGAGGTCATATTCTTCCTAAATACTGCCTAAAATGTTGTCGCATTGCTTTCTCCCCACTTCAAAGTGTCCTGACTTATACTTTACCTGTAGATATAGGCCTTGTCCATTATCGATTCCAGATGGTGATTAAACTCAAAAAATGAGGTGTACTGTGTAGAAAACAAGCAAAAGAAATCCAAAAATGTGTTAGTCTTAGATACATCTATGTAAATAAAATAGATTTTATTTGTTACTGAAAATTATTCTATTCATATGTCTGTAAAAAAAAAAAAAACCTAGGGCCTGTTTATCGGTGTGTTCCTCTGGACAGTACATTTTAGCATGATGCCAGACTTCCAGAGCTTCCGCTGTGTTTTATTTTTACCCTCCAGTTAAGTCTTGTTTGTAATGCTTGCTGAAAATCAAGCTTAAAAACATTTCTGTCCTTTTTCTTTTTAATGCATATAGTAGAACTCTGTTTTACAATAATTGAAATCACACTCTCCCCAAAACGTAAAGTAGGAAAAGTATAATCTAATACACTGACGTCACAAGAGCTGTTAAATCTTGTTGTTCAATACTAACATTGTTTTTAAGCAAGTTGCATTAAATGTATATTTACTCCCACAAAATTTAAAGTCCAGTAAGTGTTCGCATTTGTTAGCTGTTATGACGTTGTTCAAAGATACGATGAGTTCATATGCATCTAATCCAAACAAGGCTGCCATGTCCCTCGAGCTCTTTCTGCCTCTGTCTCCTTCTGTCTCAGCTCTCGGCCCCTGCATGCACTTCCTCTTCTGCTGCTGCAGGCGGTTAACCCAGGGGTAGGAGCCGAACGCCAGTCCCACCTCCACCGTTTGCTAACTGAGCCATCTTGGAAAACTCAATATCTCTGTACCTCCGTGTCCTCATCTGTAAATGAGGACAATAAGAAAACGTGCCTCCTAAAGGGGTTGCATGCGGACATGAGTTAATATACTTAAACATGTAATGTGCTTAGACCCATGGTATCTCCAAGAGAGAAGGAACCTTAGAGAGTTCTTAGTTCAAAATTTCATCCAATATAGATACGACTGTAATAGAGCATTTGGAATTAAAAAAATGATATAACAGTGACTACTTACTTAGAAATATACACAAATGATTTGTTTTTCTAGAATTCCTGAAGAGGAAAAGTTCCTCAAACATTCAGATTAAGATCATTTCAATTTGTGGTAACTTGTTTATTGTGCCAGAAGTTTGCACAAGGGAGTGTTTTTAAATTTAGCTTGTGTTCACTGTGGAGAAAACTTATATTTTTGTTTTCTTGTGTATAATTTGGAGACAGATACATATTTATCCTAGAGAGTTGTGCATTAAAATGACACATTTATATGTAAAATGACTGGGTTACGGGGCTGTGAAAAGATCAATGCTGACTTTCAGAATCTCTTGTATTAAAAGAAAACACTGAATATAGAGGGCTTTCGGACATCTTAGGGATACCGAGATGGAACGTGAACAGCTGGCATTTTATAAGCTTTTATTACAACACCAGACCAACTCCCAAATCTCTAGGAAACTGAGTTTTTCTGAAAGTTGGTCCTCTCTGAGCAGGGCCTCCTGAAACTTTCCTGGGAGACTGGGAATTCCATGAGGCATGGCCTGCCCACTGAACTGCTTGGAAGGTTAAGTGCTGCCTGAGTCTAGGCCACATGCCAGGGTCAAACCAGAGAGCTCTAGTGTTGTTTTGAATGTACAGGAATAGAGGGTATGGTCCCTCTCAACTTGGAAAAATCATGGGCATGGAAGGAAAGCCCTGTCAGCCTGAGGGTTATTTGACAACCTGATTATAGTGAAGAATTTAGAATCGGAAAAACATGTGATAGAATCCAGATACTGTCAGTCCCCAACAGCATCTCTAGACAGATTTATTCACCCTGCTAATTGTCATTTTCCTCATCTCTAAAATGAAGTTGTTCAGAGGAATAAATGAGATAACAAGCATAAAGTTGAACAAAGTATGTTGGCCCAAGTGTGTATTCGACAACTAGGAGCTGCTGCTCTTGCTGCTGCTGGCGTCATCAGGATCCACTGTGTCCCCAGGTTGTGCTGTCTTGTCTTCCCAAGATGCGAAGGAGATAACCACCTAAAATTTATAAAATCTTCGGTGTTCCTTTTAAGAAGGTTATCTTTGGGAATACAAGCTATCATTGCTATTGTTAAAGATTTCTATGAAATTTCACATTCTCACTCTTCTAAGATTCGTTTCAGGTACCCGATGAAGCCATGAGTTATAAAATATTTATATCTTAGCATCTTTTTGAATAGGTAATACATTTACATAGTTCAAAAGCAATAGGAAATATGTACTTCAAATGTCTTGCCCCTACTCCTGCGCCGATCCATTCTCTTTTCTCTCTTGCCTCCCCTCCTCACCTCAGGTAACCATTTTTATTAGGTTTTTTTGTAGCTGTTCAGTGTGTATGAAAATACAGAAAAATGGGATATTTTCCCCATTCTGTTATGTAAAAGTTAGTATTGTTCTATAAACTGTTCTGTAACTAGCTTTTTTTTTTTCAACTTCGTAATTTATCTTGGAGGTCTTTCTGTATCAGTTCAAAGAAAACTTTCTCTTTATTTTTTTTATTTTACAAAGTATTCTGTTATATAGATGTACCACAATTTATTTAACCAATTCCCCTTTGAGGGTTGTTTGAGTTGCATCCAAGTATGTAAATAATTTTGTTATGCAAAAGTGTATTTGCATTTTTTTCTAGCATTATAGAATTTTAGATGAGCAAGATAACTTAGAGGTCATTTAATCCAACGTCCTCATTTTATAGCCAGCATTCAGGCATTCAGTGACTGTCTAATAAGAAAGGACAAATGGAAAAGAATAAAATTATAAAAGATTCATTTGTAATTATAGTTGTATTTAGAAGTAAAAAGGCATTCCTATCTGAGATTATAAAAATACCTATTATGAGATACAGAATAAAAACAGCTAAGAGCAACTTCCATTAGTAGAAACAACAGCATTTTTCTTTCATTCAATTTTTAAAATTCATAGCATTGACGGGGGCAGAAAAGTGGAGGAGAGTTTGGGAAAGTTAAGAATATTCTACTTTTAGGATATTTTAGATCACTTCAAGATTTCCATTATTATAAGAAGACAATTAAATGTAATTATCTTACCTTTAATACTCTATTTGTCCTAAATATTGGATTAAACCCAAAGAAGAGGTAGAAAACATCAAATGGAATTATTGATGCGACATCCAACTGTTGGAAGAACACGTTCACAGTTATGTTGTGTTTACATGCTTTTTTATACACGGATTGACTTACACGGATGTATATAAAAACTGACCAGCCGCCATGAAGTATTGTTTAATACAAAATTGCCTTCATGGTGCCACCGAAAGGCATATGAGAACCATGAAAACAAGGACGCTATTTTGTAGCCTACTACCGACGTACTTCATTTCCACCTCGTTGCCCCTCCTGTTGCCTCAGCCACTGCATTCTCTGGGACTTTTTTGGACCTGTCACATACACTTCAGAGATGGCATGGCTGCTAATGTTAAAATACATTTTAATAGTGTTTTAAACGTGGGGCTCTTGGACTGAAAATCAAGTCCGCTCTTGATTTTATTTGAAATCATTGCCCATTCATCACAGTGATATATTTTTATGTTCCAGCTAATTCTCCAGCATTCAGAACTGATTATATTTTTGGTGGCTCATCCAGACTCCTCAATTCTCTCTACTGCTGCCTACTTTGGATCGTATTGCTAACAATAAACTGCTGTGAAAGTATCTATTGGAGACCGTGCAGACTAAGAGAGAAGAGAGGAAAGAAATCAGTGCCATTTACAAATAATCAGCAGCTCCAATGGGAAAAGGTACTGAAAGCGCTATTATGGCTAAAAATAGATATTTTTAAATTCACCATATACTTAAATTATTCCGGCCTTCTATTACCCTGGTACTTGTGAAATGACACATCACACTTGAATACTTTCCTGATCGCAGTGATAGCTAAAAATTCTTCTATGTAAGATAGTTATTCATTTTCATTAATTTTTACGTGGTTTAAAAAATAGGGTACATTAAAAAAATCTAATTTACTTAAGACAATTAAGAGCAGTTAAGAGCTTTCTGTAAGATCATATATATGAAATGGAGAGTTGAGGTAATTAATTGTGTACCAGAATTTCACAATAGCCTAGGTCAATTGAAAAGAAATGGAACTTTCAGTTTGATTTAACCGGATTGGCTATTATAAACAAATTACTTACTAAAAGTATTGGTTTAGAAATTGCATCATATCATCAAACCTCATTGATTTTTACCCTACAGATATTGAGCCTCGTAACAAGTTGAGAAGTATACAGAACAGCTGCTAAAATAATGTCTCACAGAGCAGAAGGCAGGCTCACAGAGCCGTTGACTTGTGTAGTGCTATTTCCGCACCCATGTTTTCTGGCTCAAATCACAATGATCTTTCCTTTTTACCTTTAAAATAACTTTATTAGGACTAATATGTCAGAATCATGATCTTTTTACTTGCTGCCTATCCGGTTGCTCAACTGCCCACTTGCCTTCTCTGTGCGGACAGTCACCAGCTGTGTTTGATGTTAACACACTAGCATGGATTTGTGTAGGTAGAGATGATTTATTTTTCACGGGACTGTAGAAAATTGAATTAAGTGTTGACTAACACTGCACTTTGTACAAGGTGCTTTGCGAGGCATGTTTGAGTTGAAATCAGAATGAGATATTGTTTCTGTCCACAAAAAGTTAACTATCTAATAGTGGTGGAACCAAGCACAAAAATAACTATAATACAAGCCAGAAGACAGGCAGGGTGTGCTACGGGAACTCAAAAGGAGAAGGGACCACAATTAAATGAATGTAAAATTTTACATTTCTAAACTCAAATTAAATATATGGTTAATTTGCTCTTATTCAAATGCAAGAAAGTGATTAAGAGTTCGGAATAAGCTTTGTGGCACTTACAAAGAATATCCATCCCCTTTGTAGAGTTCATCAAAGTAGTATTTATTATCAATATGTCTAAGTATGTGACAATTTTTTACAGAAAAATTAGTTGGAGATAAAAACAAATTGAAAGAGATTTTAATCACCAGAGATCTCCAATAGGGACAATTTTGCGTGTAAATCCAAATTTGTAGTTTTTAACAAGATTTGAGGCCACTAAAGGGTTGTCCTTGGAGTGAGAGTCTGGAGTTCACTCATATGGATTAGGCAAACTTGGATAACCACCAATCTCTGCCTATTTCTCAGAGTTGGGAGGAACAAATAAAAGATAAGAAAGTACTTTGCAAATAATTATGGTTGAAAAACATAAGATTATACTCTTATTTGGGGAAGATACCATGTTATTTAAGTAGTTGCTTCTTTTCTAGTTGTTATTTTGCTTACATGGACAAGAAAGAAACGAGTAGAAACCATTTTGTAGACTTTTACACTATTATGCTACATGAATTGGAGGCTAGAATTCTGTGTGCATAAGACAAAGTACACCTCCTACTCCTTTCCTGACATTTAAATTGGAATTTAAATGTGGGCACTAACATTTTGTTCTGCCTAATAAAGACCCATATATTGAATTACACATTTGCGCGTACAAGGAAGTATATCTGGTAATTATTGAGAAGAAAAAAGTTCGGGCCTACCTTTGCCTAATAAAATTTCATCTGTATAAACTTTGTTACAAAGGTTATAATTCTGAAAGACGGCAGATTTTTTCTGGTAGAAATCCATAGATGGGACCCAAAGTGAAAATGGCAATGGGTTACTTGAGCAAATTTGAAACTGTCAGTCACCTACCTGAAATTTTGTAGAACTCCTGTAGTGTTTCTTTAGCTCATTTGAATCCACCTGAAATGTTATATTTACATTTTATATAAATTTTAACCGATTTCATCAACTTTCCAACTTTAGAAAATATTTAGAGCTATTTCCCTTTCTCATTCCTTCCGGCTTCAACCTATAAATATGCTCTATCCTTATCTTAAACTAAAAAACCTTCCCTGGCGTTTGTTTTCTTTGTGTTATTGCCCTGTTGTTTGTCACACTCAGTTTTAAAGAGAGTCACCTACATCACTTTGTTCCACATCTTTCCCTCATGTTTATTCCTCAAGACGCGGCAGTTTGACTTTCGCTCTCTTCTCTTATTGCATCATGACCGCCAGTGGGTGAAAGCCACCGATGACCTCCTAACGAACACACCCAGGGAATCCTGTATAGTACTTAGCATTTTTTTTTTTTACGGCATTCACCCTGTTTTGAAATTGCACATGTATTTCTTCGTCCATTTATTTAAAATCCGTTTACTCCATTAAATGGCAATCTATCTCCAGACAAAGTCGATTTTGTTTAGCAACTGTATAAAACTAGTGGCTAGGTAATACTAAGAGCCCAATAAATATTTGAGTGGATGAATAGACAAAGGAATGAAGACATGAGTAAAACTTTTTGAAGCATTTGACATTTTTTTGAACAATTCTGTCCTTGAAACTATGACTTTCTAAAGAATCTGTAAGGCCATTCTTGGTTTACTTCTTCAGTCTCAACTTTGTGGCGTCCTTCTTGGATTCTTGGGCTAGCCCTTTCAGAGCCAGTGTTCCCCGGGACTCAGTGATCTTCTCTTTACCCTTCTTCCTGGGAAGTTCCATCCACCTTCACAGTTTCAAAGATCACCATGCATGTTGATGCTACCAAATCTCTGCCTCCACCTAATATCATTTTCTTGAGCTGTTGACGTGTACGAGCAACTGCCTGTCGTCTTCTTCATTTAGCAGTTTGCTCATCTCAAGTGTAATCTATGCCAAACGTGAATTCATCATCATTCTCCATTCCCCTTAAGCCTACCACGCTCCTCCTCCTCCTGCTCCTATTGAGTATCCTACAAGCATCCTCATCTACACTGGTCACTCGCCCTCCCTCAGCCCTCATCCAGTCAGCAACCAAGTTCCACTGATTCTTCTTCCTAAAATTTTCTCTGGTCCATTCTCCCTTTTGGCCTTGGTCTCCTTGCCTTTAGTCGTGCTCTCCTCGGTCCATTCTAAAATGGCAGCTGGATGATCTCCCTAAATCAGGTCATTTAACAATCCCCATTTATGTCAAATCCTGTACCTCCACATGACTTTAAGAAAAAATCCAAGCTCCTTTTCATGGTCGGTGCTACTTTTTCTATCTTACTGGCCTCCTGTGGCACCCACACCTCTGCGAAATAGTTCCTCAAATGCATCACAGAGTTTCTTGCCTTGATGTCTTTGCTCTTCCCAGAGCCTGGAACGTATTTTTTCTCTTTTCTCTTGTGGTGGAGGTGTGCAGATAGCTTAAATTCATCCATCAAGATTTGGGCCAGGTGTCCCCTCCTTCATGCGGTTTTCTCTACCCCTCATAGCCCCAGGGCTCACCTCTCTCATGATTCACACCACAAAAACCCACTATTTTTCTTTTGTCTGTCCGTCCTCCATACTCTGAGTTACTTCAGAGGGAAGGGACCAAGTCTTTGTCTTCTGTTTCTCCAGTTCCTAACACAATGTCTCACACACAGGAGTTGCTCAATAAATGTGTGAGAAGTGATAGATGAATAGGGAGGTATTTCTTAACATTCAGATCTAAAAGAATTAATGCTAATGTGGGACTTAGAAGCCTATATTTCAGTTACAGGTAGGAAGGCATTGCCTGTGTACTATTAATTAGTTGACCAATGTATTATAACTTGGACACAGGAAGCCACATGTTGTAACAATTATTATTCAGGCTGTCCAACTTCAGAAGTTTTAAACTAATGCTGAGCAATGTTAGAGATTGGTTAGCCAACTCTCTAATTCCTACCCCCCACACCTACTTTTTTTGACTATAATTTTTGCTCATGTACACATACTAAATTTTGCAGAAATGTGTTAGAAAATATATGACCTGCTCATTTAATGATTTTCGCTGTGAAACAAAACTGCTTACTGAGCCACAGGTAGACACAGATAGAAGGTAAAGTTGAACCATGTCCCAAGCTTGAGTAGAACCGATCAGCTGCTTCAAAGCTCGTGTGGGACAGGCGCGTTTCAAGTCTGAGAAGTTAAGTTAAAACATCACCTCTTCCTCAAACCCCGGAAGAACGTTTTTTAGCACATTTTTTCCCTTTTCTTTCAGGGTTGTCTATGATCCTATGATTGAATAAATGTAAATGAAACTAAAACGTGCTAGATTAAATGAAAATGTCATCTAATGATTCTGAAATTCCTCTTCTTTGGAGTGCTAAATAAGTTTGGCTTCATCAGCCTTATGAGGATCAGCATGTGTACCGGTAACAATTAGGCACTTATTTTAAAATGTCACCCTATTTAATTCTCTTTCTTTTAAGCCTCATCGTCATGCAGGCAACGCTTCTTCAGAGGAGGCTTACTTTGGGAAAGGTATGCTAATTGCACCTAATCCTTTCCCAATAAATAGTTTTTGGAGAAGCTCTACCAAGGTATGTTATATGCACTTATTATCTACTTCTCTTAAAAAGTTCATAGAAACTCCACAATTTCACATAGAACAGATAGAAGTGCTTCAAAAATAATAATGCCATCTGAAACAAATACAATGCAGATTACATAATTATTCAAGGAAAGAAAATACTTGAACCAAGATTACCCTTCATTCATTCCTTCAGACATTTCTTGAGTAAACTCTGAGTTCCTAGGATAGATAAGGAAATGAATCGAATACTGTCCCTACTCTCTAATAAGAAACTTATTATCAGGTAAGAAAGAGAGCTCCTTGTACAAATATGAGACAACAGGGAGAAGCTAAGTATGTGGATATTCATTCATCTGATTTATTCAACAATTTACTGCACATCTTCTAGATGCCAAACCCTCACTAGGTGTACACAGTCTTATTTAATCGTCACAATAGGTTTATGGGGTGGATACTACTATTCCCACTTTATGGATGAAAAAGATAGTATTCAATGAAAGGGTAACTTTATTTTCTTCATATAATGCTGCTAGTGGAATCTGACCCTGAGCTGTTTGGTTCTACTACATCATAATTACCCTAATTGTTATTTAACAGTTAAATAACAGAAGCATGAGTAAAGTGTAGAGAAGGGAGTGGTTAATTTTCTTCAGGTCAGTTTATAAACATTGAGAGCATTAAGCGCTGATAGCAGTTGAGTAAAATGGTGCCTGATTGACATCATCACCAGATGGCGCTCGCATCTGCACGGATCCTTTGTGATTCTAGGTTTAGCAAAGTGTTGTGTGTGGCAGAGTCTCATATCTAATTTCCACGGTCATTTCCAACTTTATTTCTGCTGTCTATAGAGGAAATTAAGACAAGTGACTTTTTTTTTGGTCCTTGATTCAAAATTCTGATCTCTATTTGTGCAGCACCATTTTCAGAAGAAAGATACAGTAAATAAATGCTGTGGAAAACTTGCAAACCCTCCCAGTTCCCAGTATTGTGGCTTTTAGCACCTCAAAGTGTTGTCTGTTACTTATCTGTTTTCCGTTAAGGCCTTGGGGAATTCATATTTTCATTCTCCAGCCCTGACGCAGTACCTGGCAACTGCAAGTATTTAATAAATGTTAGTTGAATGAATGAATGAATAATTTGCTGGTGTACACCAAAGCTAGCATAGATAGCCAAATGTAGAGACCTTCAAGTTGGGTACTCCACTTACATAGTTTTCTTACCAAAATGTAACCCAGTTTCAAAGGCTAAAACTACCTACTCTAAATCAAGGAAACCATTAAACGTCTTTTGAACAAACAAAGCAATTAGTTCCCGTTCTATGTTTGTAGCTTATGGTAATGCATTTTAAATAGAGCCCATTGAGTGTGTTTTTATTGGTTATTTTTCTTGGTTTTAACACTCCATTGTGTGCAAAGGCCTCTTATAAAATTGAAAATAAAAGTCTCCCCTTACTGATTTTGTCATTTTCCATTTGTCAAACATCGATTTTCTCCCCCCTTGTGCATCTAATGGAGGTTGAAATTAGCACTCTTTTTTTGGTGTTGTTTACTCCTTATTTGTACACCGTCATCATCATTCATCAAGCTGCCAGTGAGCTCTGGGGACAGTGCTGGTGGGTTAACCAACACTCTGAAGTCCGCACAAAGGCTATTTTGAGTAGATTTTTGCTACAGCTTTAGTTCTTGCCTTTAGAGTTTATTTCTTGGAACGATTTCAAATAAAGGAGGTATTCCCCAGCAAACAATATTTTTTTTAGAAGAAAAATAACCAAAATGACTTCTTTCAGCTTTTTGATAATTTAAAATTATCTGGAGATTCAAAAGAAAATAAATATTGAGGAGATTAAGAAATCTACTTCTCTTCTACAAAAACATATATAACCCAAGGTGCCACACACTGGGTCACTCTGCTCTTCCTACTGCGACATTGGGGGATCTGTTCTGTGCAGCCCTTGCTGGGACTGTGGAAAGATGTTTCAGTGGACATCAGTTGGGAAGGAAGCATCCTGCTAGGCAGCTAGGGAAAGGACCAAGGAGGAGAAGCTCTTAGATTTAGGTGTGTGCTTGTGAAAACACATTCTTTTGTTTATGTCTTAGATTAATCAGATTGGCTATGAAATTCCCTCAATACTGAGAATAAATCCAGGAGAAGATACTTTCTCCTGAGGGTAAGGATGCTAGTTGGTCACTGCATTTGACGGTGAGACGTGGGATGTGGTGAATCTAGAAAGTGAAGAGCAAAAGGAAGATAGGCCAGCAGATACTGTATTAATTGAAAAACAAAACAAAACGACTACTGTGTGTCTCTGTGCTTGATTTGCACCTGTCTGCATGGCATGCCTTCCACGCCCATGGTTTGCTCTCTCGATGGAGACCTTGATGGCTCGTTGTTCTCTCATTGCCTTATAGCACATTCCAACAGTACATTTTGCAATAGTGGAAATATTCTTTGCTATCCAATATGGTAGCCGTTAGCCACTTATGGATACTGGGCACTGGAAATAGGGATAGTGTGGCTGAGAAACTTGAATTTTTAATGTTATTTAATCTTAATTAATTAAAACAAATTTGAATAGACACATGTGGCTTGTGGCCACTACATCAGAGTCTACACTAATTAAAAAGGTCATGAATGCTTTTCTTCCCTTTTTAAGTGGATTTTCCCAAAGGGTCCAGGTCTAAAACCTTGGACTTGATTTCCGTGCTGTGTGCAAGCACTGTGCTAAGTGCTGATTATACAACGATAGACAGGACTCAGTCTGTGTCCTACCACACTCACAGCCTGGTGCTTTCTCACAACACCACCTTGTCTCCCAAGGAGGCAGGGCCGACTCTGATGAAGGAAATAATACCGCCTCAAGTAAAGAAATACTGAGGGGAACCACAGATGATCACGTGCTGGAGAACTGTGGCCTCGCAGACTGCGGGAGGCTTGATTACGAGAGGAAGGTGTATTAAACTATTTCTTCTTTTTGCATTGATAAGTTATATATTTTTTAAACATTGTTTAGTTAAAATATGTATGTGCACGGTTTTGACCTTTCAGACCTGGCATTATCTTTGTATCCTCAGGTAATATCGAATTCTGAAAAACTCGCCAACTGAGCCAACACGGTGTGGTCGTAATGAGCGTGGGTTTTGGAGTCAAGCCCTGGGTTTGAATCCTGACTCCACTACTTTTCACCTACCTTCTCCAGACCTCAGTTTCTGTATCTGTAAATGGGGCTAATAATATCTTCCTCATAAGGTGATTGACGGGACTGAGTGAGGCATTGTAAATAAATCAACCAGAATAATAATGAGAGCTCACGGTTGATATGCACTCAGAGGCACCAGGCGCAGTTCCAGGCAGTGTACATGCATCAGTTCATTCGGTCTCCTATTAACAGCATGAAGTGCTATTGTTATTCCCATTTTCAAGACGAGGAAACTAAGGCACAGGGCGATGCATGGTCCCCAGCACATAGGGAGCGCTTGATGGTTGTCTTGTTGTTATTGTTATAATAATAATAATTATGATTATTATCATACTGGTGGTTTCCAGTGGTTAAAGACCCATCCAGTCAGACATGAAATAAAACAAAGCTAATTTGTTTTTTGTGGGCAGACCTGATATTCATTCGTTAGTTTCTGCTTTCCCCTTATGACTCACTATGATGTCTCCTCCTCTTATAAACTGGAGTCTGGGCTGGATTAACAGCATATCGCAAAAGTAGATGAGATCACACACGACGTCCGTGATGAGCCAGTAGTGTGTGTTGTCTGGGGTCTGATACGGGAAGACGAGGCGCAGTGGGATGAGCCAGCAGTTCCAGTTATAGGCCACGGTGACGAGCAGGAGCCACAGGAGATAGAGACGATCTAGAAAAACAGCAACTGGGGTGACCCACACGGCAGCAACAGGCATTGAAATAACCCTCTCGCTCAGTTTAGGAAAGCTCAGTTTAGGCAGCTCTGGAGCCAGGAGCTCTCCTCTAGGTGCCTCCATGGACACTCAGACAGACCATCCTGCTCCAGAGCAAGAGGCCCTGGGCGCTGGGCGCTAAGGTGGTCCTGTCAGCTTTGGAGAGTGTCTCTCCTATCTCATAGAGAAGGGGCCACTCTGAGCCTGCACCCGAGTGAAAATACTGCATGGATGGCAAGGGGAACCCAGAGAAGCTGGGCTCCCCGCCCAGGGTGGCCACAGCAGGCTCTGCTTGTGGGCAGCCCAGCCGCAGGGTCACGGGCATGTGGTGAACGGCCTCACTTGCCCCAAGATGTGTGGGTGAGGGGAGGGCAGAGAACCAGACCCCGAAGGCTGTCCCAGGCCCTTTGCCCCAGGGAGGCGGTAGGAGGGGATGTGTCCAGTTAGAATAATTGACAGTGTGAGCCCTGGAAGAAGATGAACACTTACGATGGTTTTTGAGCCGGGGGTCAGTGTAAATATTGCTGACTGCTCTGGGGCTTTCTTTTCAAAGGTATAATTAGGGGCAGGACAGACCCTGACTGTGTTTTAAAAACAGGCAAGAATATTTTATCGGTTGTCCTCATCAGAGAGGGACAAAGGAGCCATTGCATATTTAATATAGTCTAAATTCTGCTTTCTGGGTAGATTCAGAATGTGGGCCAGGGAACATGGAAGCCCTCTGCGACACTGGTTACAGAGGTTCTTGGTAACAGCCGGCCCTCCCCCAGGACAGTCCCCCTTTGACGGTACCCGTGTACGAATCTATGCTTCTCGGGAGTCTCATCCGCTTTAAGTACTCTGTCAGAGGCATCTTCCGCAGTTTCCAACACAACACGTGATAGTAATGTTCTTCTTTGGGCTGAGCATTGCTTTCTTGGGTTGAGGATACAGCTGTGGGTTTTGCTTTAGAGGAAGAAAGGAGATGAAAACGTTTTTAAGAGGTTAAATTAACTTAAATTGGCTTAATGAGAAAAAGCTTGGATTTCTTGAGGTCAGAACATTCCAGAATCTTCCCCTTTCCATACAGGCAGATGAGACATTTCGTGACACTTAAAATAGTGACATGGTGACAATATCCATCTAATGAACTGGAATTTGGAAATATATACGTTTAAGCTCACTAATTAAGTGTCCCACAGGTGTTACAAATAGGATATTTTAAATATAAACCTGATTCTCACATATTTTGGAGCATAAAGAAAGTGTGTGTGCTTTGGCTTTGCATTGAGCAGGAGCGTTGCAAATGTGTATAGTTCTATGGGATTCAGTTTCAGGCTTCTTTAACCTCACATACATCCTTCAAGTTACGAGCAAATAAAGCTCAAAGTATTCTTTTCAACATACAGTCATCAAACTATAAGGACTATGTTTTATTTTAGCCTCTTCTCTTTAAAAGAAACTATTATGCAATACATAGTTTATTTTGAAAATCCAACTTCCCTTCTACAGAATTATAAGGAAACCCTCAACTCCATCCCACGTAATTAACAATTTTATTTTTATTTATCTGTTATTAAACAACCAAACTTTCTTCTATTTCTTTGTCCGTGCATACACAAACATTTTACATATATGCAATCCTAGTGTACGTCTCTTTGGTGCTCTGCTTCATCGTATTTATTAATTTTTCACAGACGTATTTCTGTAATGACCAGCGAGGTTGGCAGCCATCCTTCCCCTTGTGTGACTGTTGATGCCCTTTGCTCTGTTGTGTACTCAGTGTCCTGCGTTGTTATCATAGGCAGTTTGTATACTGTGGGTGTTCTTAGTTAAGATTTACAATAAATCCTGCTATGGCAGATGTGGTTGTTGGTCTGCGCATATGCCATGGCCCCGGCTGTCACGTGCAGAGGGCTCCCTGCAGCTCTTGGCTGGAGGGTTTCTCCCTGCTGGCTTGCTTGAAGCGCTGGAGAGTTACAACATGCCCCAGCAGCAACCCTCAACCAACGAAGGACAGGAGCTGGGGAATCAATCCACCATCTTCTCTCGGGATAATTCTTAATCTCCGAGTGAGTGTCATCCGCATAGATTTCCAGCTGGATCAAGCACCGGTGGCCCACAGTAGTAACCCGGTCATTAACACACCTTTATGGTCTTAACTCCCTTCTCTGTCTTTCTTGCCCGCTTTTACCTTCCTGAGTCCCCCTCAACATCCACTGTTTATACCCAAATCGTTGTCTCTGGGTCTGCTTCTGGGGGAACCCAAACTAAGACATTTGCAAAACAGAGTTCCCTCACAACTTCCTTCTTCCCAGTTCTTTGAGGTGACAGTGCTTACCAGTTTTGGGGCTGGCTTCAGGTGAGGATAAATCATCTTCCACCAACTTCCTTTTGTACAGGGCCGTTCTTTGACGCATCCTCTTTACCAGGTTGTGTAGCTGGGCGTCAGAATACTCGTTTATAATGGGGGCTTCAGGTGGTTTGCTCTTTGGACTAAATGAGGGGAAAAGTGGCAATGGAGATAAAGTCATACAGGAGGAGATACATACAGGGAAGGGATCAAGTCTTCACCTTCCTTATATACTCAGAATTATTAACTGCTCTTTTCTGCAATTGAATAGGACAATTCAAGCATTGGGTTTGATGGAAATAGTGCTGGTACAAACCAGATTTGCCACAGAAAGCCTAGAATGCACAAATAGCAAATGGCCATTCTTGACCATAGTGGATCTTGGTGACTGTGACTCTGCCACTAAATTTTGTCATTTTTAGAAAAAAAGCTATAGCTGGCGTGGTAGGCAGAGTTATAAGATGGCCCCTTGGTGGACACGTCCTGCATGATCCTGGGAAAAATGAATATGGTGGATTTTACTCCCATAATTAGTTCTTGTTAGATGGCTCCTTGACTTTAAGAGATTATACAGATGGGCCTGATGTCATCAAATGAGACCTTAAAAAGCAGAGAGTTTCTCCAGCTGCTGACAGAGCAGAAAATGAAGCATGAGGGGGATTTTACTTGTGAGAAATTCTCCACTTTTGGCTTTGAAGAAGAAAGGGGCCCGCTGATAAGAATTGCATGAGGCCTCTAGGAGCTGAGGGTGATCCTTGGCTAGCTGATAACAAGGAAACAAGGACCACAGTCCCACAGCCACAAGGAACTGAATTCTGCCAGTAACTGGAATGAGCTTGAAGCAGATTATTCTCTGGTGCTTCCAGGTAAAGGGCCCCGCCAGGCCTGGCTGGCACCTTGATTTCAGTTGTGCGAGACCTTCAGCAAAGAACCCAGGAACGCCCACCCAGACTTGGATCTGCAGAGCTGTGAGCTGACAAATGGGTGTTGTTTTAAGTAACTAAGTTTGTGATCAT